GGGGGGGGGGGGAATAGCACTCTGAAAAACCAATAACAAGGAAAAACACATTAAGAGTACAAAAAAAGTAAAAAGAATTTCATATAAATATTGAATTCAGCATTCTCTAATAGAACTCTAATCCTCAAAATACTGTGCCTTCTTTTATTTCCCTTATGGGAGACATTTCATAAATCAGTAGGAGGTGAACACTAATCAATAAGGAAATCAAAGGACAATTTAAAAATTAATATTCTGCAAAATGCCAAATCAATCAGTAAAAGGTAATCTTTTTTACTTTTATTGAATTGCTAATTGAAAATTTGTGACTATATTCCAAGGCTGTTCTGGAATTTTTAGATTATGTGCAATAGAAGATAGTGCTCATATATTATACTTCTATACTTTGAAACACCCTGTAGCATTAAAAAGGAAAAACAAAAATGTCTGATATAAGTATGTTACTCTTCAAACCTAAGATTTAAGCTTACTCTATTTTTAAAACAATCTTTTGACTATAATAATCCATTCAGGACTCCCTCTTCCCATTAATGAAGCATGTGGCTGAACTATAAGGCATGATTTAAGTTGGAACGTGGAAAACTTCCTCAAAATGTATTAGGTCATGAAATTATTTCCACTCCCTTGGAAAGATACAGATAGTCCATATTTCAGTCAATATATTTTAATAAAATATATTATGTCTTATTTCTCTGATATGCATACAAATCTGAATGTGCTATGTTTTCCTAGAATACTTGATTAATGTAAGGATCAAAATTTCCTTAGGAAACCATGAAAGAATAATATTTAAGGGTGAACAAGTCAACAGTTGTTTGTCAAAAAATAATAAAAGTTTTCTTCACAAGCATTTATATTGATATAAAAATGACACTGGACAAGTTATAACTCTTGTCTGACATCTCTAATACCTCCCCTTGCATTATACATTATGTGTTATACATAACACATCATATATTATAAAATTATGTGTTAGTGTTTCTTAAACTGGAATCCAACACACACACCACTACTGCACTCACAGATTTTTTAAAAAAAAAACAGTTTTAAAGACAAAACTCCTCTTCAAGTGATTATTCATGTCTTACACCATTTAAATTGGGTATGTCTTTAGATTCTAGACTCTTAAATAAATTAAAACATTGATTTGTTACCAAAACAAGGACACAACACAGCAAAGTTTGCACTGCTAGCTGCCAAGGGCTAAGAGGAAAGGAACAGAGATGTAAATGCAGAAAGTAAACATTAAATGATGAGATCCCATTCTATGAACCAGGGTTTATCAGAAGTCCAAATGGAGACAGGCTGGAGAAAACTGACTCATCACACGACCAGTGGCAGAGTAATCAGCACAGTTTTCATCCCACTGATTTAGTTGTTTTTTTTTTTAAAAAAGTTCATTACACTAAACTGTTCCTGTTAATTTGTAGTTAAGCTATTGGTTGGGATCTATATTTCAACATTTCAGTATTAGCTGTAGAAAGAACTGTGTGAGAGGAATAAGTACGAAGTATGTGAAAAGCACAACTGGATGTTTCTGTATATTATAGGGTTAACTCTATAGGAGGGTGTCCATGACAATATTTTTCCTTTAAAAGTGATCTGAATATTTCTCAGTTTTAAGAAACCCTGCTCCCTACTTTCCAAAGCAGTCTTTACCATTCCATCTGACCTGCACAGCAGCCCTGCAGGGCTCAGCTCCACTTTGACTATGCAAACGCGGCACCGTGAGGTTACCTGCCCTGCTTGTAGATATACCTTAGGCTCTGGCTGAGCACAGGGCTTTTTTCTGCAACACCACACTAACCATATCTGTGAGTTGGAATTAATTTTAAACCACGGGAGAAAAAAAAGTTCATTTGTATTTGCTATTTTTCTAAAAGAAGTGGGAGAGATGAGAGAAGAAACACACTTATAGGTCTTCACAAGGCAGAAAGCATCCAGTGAAACTGGAGAAGAGGGCTGCTGGGCATGTCAGCTGAGGAAGCGATGAATCCCTGCCAGCTCCCAGTGCCAACTGCCCCCTGCACCTGCGGTTAGCCACTGATGTCACAAGCAGGCTAAAAATGGAATGCTGCTCCTACAAGAGGAAATTGAAAATGAAATATCCCAAGACCAACCACTCTCGGGGCTTGATTAGGAGACTCAGAACCAGAGCTAACAAGAGCCAGCAGGCCCTGCTTGTCCTCACCATAACACTCTATGTTTTCCCTTGTACATTCGTTAGAGGATCTAAGTCACCTTGAGACATGAAGTTGCGCAACAGTAACTCTTGTTGTAAATCAACTGTAAGTTCTAGACTCTTTATAAAGGTATAAACAGATCTATTTATTCTTGAACAAAAAGTGGCAGCAAAAAGCACTTTCAAAGGACTCAATTCAACATGTATGTATTCAGTGCCTGTTATATGTAAGGCAACGTTCTTGACCAAAACGGGAAGATAGACCCCTTGCCAGCTACAAGTTTATAATCTTATAGGCACTTAGAATCTTATGTTGACAAATAATTACTATCAATTTGATAAGGGCTATAACTAATATAAAAAATAATGTGTAGGGGAAAATGGGTTTTAGAGAATTCTGAATTTTGGGATGTTGGGCAAAGTAAAGATCTAGGTGAGCTTCTGGATTTACATGAGAACACTTCAGTCGGTTACTCTTCACTCCTCCTTCTCCATCATCAGTGGCAGTTTGTACCCGTTTGAGAGTCTGAAATGGGAAAGGAGCACGGGGGAAAAGGCAGATGTGAGTGACATATAAGGTGTCATTAGTGGACAAGCGAAATGGGGAGGTGACCTGTAGAAAAGCAAGGTAATTGTCAGAGGTGACCAAGATTTGAGGCTAAGATACTAGGAAGATGAGGTGACAGTAACTGAGAAAGGAACCCAGGGCAAAGAAGTGGTGAACAGTTGGAGGAAATATAAACACTTCACTCTGGACAAATTTAATCTGAGGTACTTGAGAAGAAACATCTCTTAGGAGATGCCCCAGCTCACAATCAGAAAAGGGACTCCGAAGCCTGCAGGACAGATGGGGGCCAAATGCTGAAATCCTGGAGTCACTCCTGAATGAGGGCAGCTATGAGGTCAAGGGAATGCTTACAGGGTGGGGGGAGAACAGTCTGAAAGCAGGTGGTAGAGAAATACATTAATGAGAAGAAAGTGTCAGGAGAAGCCACGGAGGGTGAGACAGCAATAAGGGCAAACGGGGAGAATGCTAAGCAAGCAGGGACCGCAGTGTTCACGGCTGCAGGCAGAGCGGCCCTGCAGCTGATGTCAGGGTCTCTCCCTCACAGGCTCCCTTCAAAGACCAAGGAGAGTACTCATGGTTACATGTTTCTGCAGAAATAAGATCTTTCACCTGCAATTGGATGACTTCACTGTCACTTTCTACTCTGACTTCCCCTCCATTGCTGTGTCTGCTGCCATAATTAGAAGTGAGCGCTTTTCAGATTTGCCTGAGAAGAATCTGAGTTAGGGATACAATGTCTGAGTTTGGGGGATATGTCCACATGATTTTCAGTCACTTCTTTTGAAAATAGTGAACTAACTGGTAAGGCCCCAGGGTAGAAATGACTTCCCGGAATATCTTCCTTCCTTTGTACAGACTCACTGGAGTCATGGTACAAGGACTGTATCATGTCTTGCAAAACCCAGGGTGGAAAAGACCTGTGTAGTGGAGGGAAAACGAGATATGAAATACAAGACATAAACTTATCTGCAGGTAAGTCCTCCCAATCATCAAACACAGAACACTTTAAACCGATTTTGTTCTCTGTGTCTAGGTCAAACAGTAGTTCTCTTCAATCAGTTTAAGGGAAACACGCCGTAATTTTTCTCCTGTTTTGAGAGAAACGATGTACAATAGAACTTATCAGCATGTCTGTGTTCGTAGGACACAGATTTATAGGAGTACTACAGACAACAAGCCTGCGTGTGGAGGTACAGGTTTCATACATCCCAGCTAGCAACACTAAAAACATATTACTATTAACTGCTTGAGGCAGATATGGATCATCTCTATATTCTTTTTTCCAAAATTATATTACAATTTTTTTGTCATAGAAACAAAGGCAATAAAAGTGTTTGCAGTTGAAAATAGCTCAAGAATAATACGAACATGTACCAGGCAGTTAATACAAATATATTTTAAAATTGTATGACTTTGTAGTATTTGTGAACTTTTTAAAATTCTAATTTGTTTTGACTTATTTTTTTATTCCAACCACTTTTCTGCACCTAATTTTATATTCACAACTTAGTATAATTTGTCTTAAAAAAAATACAGCCTTATGTATAAGCTTCAGACTCCACGAAACCCTAACCTACCTCTCATTATAGATTTTACCTTCAAAAGAACAACATCTGTGGAACAGTGGAGGCAAACTCATATTGCAATGGATTAAAGAGAATTAAAACTCTTCATAGAAAGATCATTTAAAAAGTATAGAAAAAAACTACAAATTGGGAAAAGATATTTGCAACACACATAACTAACAAAGAATTAGTATTCTGGGTATAAAAATAGAACTCCTATAAATCCATAAGTAAGATACAAATAACCCAAACTACAAATGAAAAAAAAAACATGCTAAAGACATGAAAAAGCACTTCAAAGAAAACACGAATGAACCATAATCAGCAAAAAACCAAAAAGAACCCCCAAATTAAACCTCACTGTAAGTGAGAGAAATGCATTCCTCAAATCATGAAATTTGTTTTCATACCCACCAGACTGACAAAAGACAAAGTATGGCACTACAAAGTACTAAGAAGTTATGGAGCAAGAGGAACTTTTGTCAGCTGTGAGAACAAGTATGAATCGGCACAACCACTTTGGAAATCAATTTGGCAATACCAAGCCACGCTAAAGATGCACATTCTTGTGAAGCATCAATTTACCTTTCCCAGATACAAACCCTGGAGAAATTCCTGCACATGCGTGTTATCTGTAATAGAAATAGCAGACAACAACAATGGAAATGACTCAAATATCTGTCTATAGTACAACATCTAAGTAAATGGGGGTGTATGCACACAGTGGACTACGACATGGCTATGAACATGAGCAAAATGCCACTGCACACTTCAACAGGAAGGAATTTCAGAAATTTATCTTTGAATTTAAAAAGCATTACATTAAAAAAATGTACCATGTATGTTTTCATTTATATAAAAATGAAATCAGGCAAAAATAAACAATACCGTTTGGGGATACATACATCTGTGGTGAAACGATATTAATAAATGATTCAATAAAATCCAGGATATTGATTATCTGTCACGTGGGGAGCACAGAATGTGATTTGAATGAGCACTATGACGGACTGAGCAGGACAGGGGTACTTTTGTGGTTCTGTTCTTATGCATAGTGGTAAGTATTTAAGCATTCATTTTATTATTGTTTTTTAGACTAATCATGTTATATGCATTCCTTTGCATGTTTGACATTTCACGAAATAAAATTTGTAGAAGAGGCTAGAGAAAGGCAATAAAAGTCTAGTAACTTGAAAAATTTATGAGTCAAGGAGATGAAGCTACAAGTAACAAGCCACAAACATTGCCTTATTCAGTGTTACAAATGCAATCAAGAACTAGCAATAACCTTGTTTGATTTTTTCTTAATGGAAATAGAAGTTTTCCTGAGGCAATATTTGAGTACTTAACATTCTGCTTTTCATAATACTAGCAGCCTGACCTTATGAATGATATTATATACTCCTAGATCATCAAAAATCCTTGACTATCCCAATGCTATCTCTTTCAGGCAGTGAGCTCCAAATCATCCAGGCTGCCAACAGTCAGCACAGAGCTATGACATTCAGAGTCAAGTAACAGGTGCAGATTTTTAAGCATAATTCTTACTCTAAAAAGATAAAAGCATATTTGGAAATATAATGCCATATAATGGCCCACTAGCTTTGAATAAAACACTGAGAACCTCAAATACATTCATTTTAGAATACATTTAAAAGTAGGTTGGAGAAATTTTGTTACCCATGTAAAGTCATGCAAGTAACTAACTTTCTTCTCCAAACTGGAGGCAGCAAATGCAAGTGAATCAGCATTTGAGATCTGGAGTCAGAAGGATGGGCAATCTTAGTTATCTCCTTTACAAGCTTGTGAACAATGGCACTTATGAGGCAACTGGAAATTTGAATACTGACTAGATATATGACATTAAGAAATATTGTTAATTGTTTTGATGTAATAATGTATTATGGTTCTGTTAAAGAGCCCTTACTTTATGGAGATACACAATGAAATATTTGCAGATGAAATTATGTCAGGAATTTATTTCAAAATAATAAATCAAGGGGAAGTGAGTAGAAATGGAACAAAACTGGTCATAAGTCATTATTGTATTTGCATGATGGGCACATGGGGATTATAAAAATGGGCCCATTTTTTTATATGTTTAAATTTTATGTAATAAAAAGACGTGTAGACACATTCATCACACACACACACACACAGGCCTTATATAATTTTTCTCTAGGCTAACATTTTAAATTTACCATTTCTTTCAGGCTTGCCACTTCCTCTTGCCATCACGAACTCCCTTTCTCCAATCCCTCCTCCATACTCCAAGAAAATGATTTGTTTTCTAAAATGCAAAACATTATTGTTTCAATGACTTTGAATGACTTCTCACTACCTGCAGAATAAAGCCTCAAATTCCTTTCCCTGGACTACAGGGTTCTTTGTGACTAATGCCTACTCATCTCTCCAGAGTATCTCCTGCCTCTATTGAGCCACTTCAATTCAATGGAAGAGCTATGCTTTTTCAGTTGTGGTTCTCTCAGGCCCAGACACTCTACTCAGTCCCTTCTACACCTGGCTAACTTCTGTTTACTCTCCAGTCTCACCCAAGACCCTACTGTTCTTTACAAAATCCTCCCTGACAAACACCTACCTATCCTTCCTCCCAGCACCTGCACCCACACCTACTGTAGTGCCTGCTACACTGCAAGACAAGTGCTTTTACTTACATGATTACCTGTCTAGCCTGTAACTCCTTGACCTTCAAATATGGCATGCGTGCCTTGTATCTCCAGTGCATGGAGCATCTAGAGAGCACTCAGTGAATATTTGTTCAATTAAAGAATAATCTTATTCTCTCATATTTCCTCTGCCTTTTCATCAAAGAAAGGAAAAACTACATGCTGGTCAATAGACGGGCTAATGACAATTTTAATAATAATATTATGGAGGGAGGGGAAAGAAAGCTAATATTTATTAGTGCTTACTACCTGCCAGTTATTATTGTAAACATTCTATATTAATTCATTTAAGCAGAAAACCCAAGACACTTGTTAAAAATATAGATTCCTGGGCCCCATCCCAGAACTACTAAATCAGTGTTTCTTGGGGCAGGGGCCAGGAATCTATTTTTAACAGGTGCCTCATGCATTTTATTTTTAATATCTCTTTATTGATTTCAGAGAGAGGAAGGGAGAAGGAAAGAGAGAGAAACATCAATGATGAGAAAGTCATTGATCGGCTGCCTCCTGCACGCCCCCAACTGGGGATCGAGCCCGCAACCTGGGCATGTGCTCTGACTGGGAATCGAACCTTGATCTCCTGGATCCTAGGTCGACGCTCAACTACTGACCCATGCCCAGCCGGTACCTCATGCATTTCTGATGTTAAGTCAGCTTTAGGGAATAACTGGCCTAGCAGTACAAAGAAAAAGAAAGTTCATATGATACCATGTACAGTTTTCATTTTGAAGTTCATTGTTGCCTAGTATTTATTATTCCATGATATATACATTTGAGAATAATCCTAGTGTGGGCAGGGCCAATGATAACTGGTTTCTCAGCTTATAAAATGGAAAAACATTTTGTTAAATTGCAGAATTTAGAAGGCTTCACACAGCAATGCCTTTTTCTGATATCTAAGCATGACATCATCAAAAAAATAAACTCAGGTAAAAGAGGCTGCTCAGCTTTATTAACAAATATGAATAAGTTTATTTAAATTTTCAAGTACTTTAAAGTTGGAATTTGACAACAAAGTATATTATAACAAAAAATAATATCCTACTGAATAATTATTCTTTCAAAATTTGGAATAGGAACCACTAATGCAATTTAATAATTCAAAAGTTAATCTCATACTTTTCTAAACCATATCCAAATTTTGCACAACAACAAAGCCTATTTCAATAAGAAAAGCCTCCCCTCCACCCACTATTCTAAATTTTCATTACATAAAACACAGTGAACTAACATAATCCATTATTTCACTCTAGGTATCAGCCAAGCAGCCATCACATTACTTTACATCTACACCCTATTAGAAATGCAAAGCATCACAAAGCATCCTGTCAGGTACAGTCTTAAAATGAATGTTCTACAGCCTCTCAGTTTCTTGCTGTCTCCTGCCTGGCTATGTATTATTTATCAAGCTTTCATCTGAGAATAGGGAACATGCTTTAATAGATGTAGCTGAATGTGAGACCAGTATTAAAGATACCAGCTAGTTTTATTTTCAAAACATTACCCTAATTACAAAAGTACCCTTTTGTGATAACAATGAATAAATGTCCTACTAAGATAATAATAAAAAACAGGTGTTCCTTAGCATCTGTTGAATGCTCTGCAGCCTTACTCTTAAAAGTGTGGTGCCCCACACCAGCCACACTGGCATCACCTCAGAGCTTGATAAAAATGCAGAACTTGGGCTTCATCCCAGACCCACTGAATCATATTCTGCAGCGTTAACAAGACCCCACAGGGTCTTCGCGTGAGAAGCACTGCTTTATAATTTTCATAAATCATTTGGGTCCCCTGGGTTCAACTGCAATTCTGGACTAATGACCTATATGACCTTAGGGAATCCACCTGTATGACAAAGGGCTCAGAGCAGCAGCAGAGTCTAATGAACTTTCTGTGATGATAGAAAAGTTCTATACCTGGGCTGTCCAACACAGTAGCCACTAGTTATATGAGAACTTGAAATGTTGCTATTGAGACTGAGGAACTGAATTTTTAATTTTATTTAATTTTAATTACTTTAATTTATATTTAAATAGCACCACGTGGCTCTCTGAGAGCTCAGGTCTAGAGGCTACTGATAATATAAAATCCCTTCTGGCTCTAAAATTTTAAAATTCTAGGTCCAGAAAAAATGATTTACAAAATAATATTCAGGACTATATTTAAAACAAATATTTGTTGAAAACCTACTATGGGTCAAACACTCAGGCTTCATCAATGAACAAAACAGACCAAAATTCTTGTTCTCATGGTCTACAATCTCACAGGTAGAGAAAGACAATAAAAATAAATACTGCAAGTAAAAAAAAGGCAACATCATTGGAAGACAATAGGCTATGGAAAAAAGAATAGATTAAGAAAGGATGTAGAACGTTGGTGCGGAGATTAGGGTTGGCAGCATTCATACATGGGGTGCTAAGAGAAGCTGACATTTGAGCAAGGACTGGAAGCAGATAGGAATTGGCCATGTAAATATTGGGAGAAGTGCACACAGAAAGAGTAGTTTCTGCAAAAGTCATAATGTAAGGACCTGATGTGAACGAAGGACAGACAGCAAAGTGCCCCAGGAAGCTGCACGTGAGTGAGCCATGGCAGCAGAAATGGGAGGTAGAGTCAGAGAGGTCAAAAAAGAACAAAGGCTCATGAATCATGGAGGGTCTTCAGGCCACTGTGAATCCTTGACCTTTGTTCTGAGGATCCCTTGTAAAGGAGAAATGTGTCATACCTTACATTTTTAAATGATTCCTCTGGCTTCACTTGAGATCATTCTACAAGAGTACCAGGGCAGAAGCAGGGGGGATAGTTAGGATCTTATTGCTGATCCCTGGTCAGAAATGATAGTGGCTTGGTTCATAGCGGTAGCAGTGGAAATGGTGAGAAGCAGCTGGATTCTAGATATATTTTAAAGGTAGAGCTAACAATAATAGCACACGAAATACAGAAAGGTAGTGTGAGCGAAAGAGAAGAGTCAAAGTTGATGTCAAGGTCTTCATCTAAGTAACTAGAAAAATGGAATGACCGTCAACTGAGATGGAGGGTAGAGCAGGCATACAGGGAACTACAAAGAGCTGAATTTTTTACATGTTAAATGTGAGATGCCTGTGGCACAACCAAGTGGAGTTGCAGCACACGGAAGGATAAACCAGTCTGGAGTTCAATGGAATGGCCTAACCTGGAGATATAAGTTAGAGAATCAATGTCGTATAGAGAATATTTGCAGAAATTGTCTAAGATGACAAGAGTATGAGCATAAATGGAGAAGAAAAGAGGGCCAAGACTGCTGGGAGTTCAAACGAAAGTTAAGAAGTAACTTGTAAGGGGAGAAAATAACAGGGAATCATAAACAAATATGCAGTGCGGAAGGAAGAAAATCATGAGACTATCGTGCTTTTAAGCAAAGTGAAGAAAATGTTTCAAAATGGAGGGAGTGATTGTGTCAAATACTGTTGAGAAATCAAGTCATGTAACAGCAAAAAAATGACCATCAGATTAAACAATGTGAAGGCCAATGATGACCTTTATGAGAGCAGTTACAGTGGAGAGGGAGAGGCAAAGCTTGACTGAAGTGTGTTCGAAAGACAATGGAAAGAAGAAAAATGTGATAGCGTGGTGTACAGACAACTTTTACAAAAAACTGGATTGTAAGATGAGCAGAGAAAAATAATACTAGCTGCAAGGGAAAATGGGGCCATGCAGAGTTTTTATTTGTCTTTATTTAGTAGCTTTTTTTTTTTTTTTTTGAAGAATAGAGCAACTGCAGTTAGTTCATGTGCTAATGAGAATGAGCCAATAAAAGGAAAAAATCAATAATATAGGACACAGTTCAGCAAACGATTTGGACTCTTATTGTTTTGTACAGCCCATAAGCTAAGAGTGATTTCTACTCTTAGAAATGATTAAAAAGAAAAATCAAAAGAATAATATTTCATGACATATAAAAAAAAGTTACATTGCATTCAAATTTCAGTGTCCACAAATAAAGCTTTATTGGCACACAGCCAGGCTCATCACTGATGCAGTGGCTGTGGCTGCTTTTGCTCAACAATGGCAGAGCTGACTTTCTGTGATAAGAGAAGATCATAGGTGACATTTTACTAATTCCCACTGCTGCACAATGCTCCATGAATCACAATGACAGAGTTATAACTGGACAGCATTTCAAGTACCATGCATATGGTAATGCAGTGACACTTTATTTTTTCATTACCAATGCACAGTCAAAAGGAGATAAAATGGGCTTCAAATGTCATGCTTTGAAGGCACAGTGGAGTATGGATTATTTTATTATTGAACTAGATGGCAAAGGATTTTGTTTTTTATGTAGTAACACCATAACTACACTAAAAAATATATGTCAACATCATGAGCCTAAGCACTCATCAAAATATGCCCAACTCATACGAAAGCAATAGTCAGAAAAATTAGAAAATTCAAAACAGAATAC